AGAAAGGGAGGCAAAGTACTAAACATAAGTACAAGAAATGACATGCAGTGATCTGAGTAAGTCTAGAGCTTTAGGAATCTGGATAGATACCTGGATTTCATGAAAATCTGTGTGATAGCGTGACAGGCCTTCACCGCCGGCAAATGCTGCAAAAAATCCTGTTGATTGCAAGCAGCATTAAGCAACAAAAATTTCTCTGGAGCAAAGTTTGTCTTCTAAAGTATATGGAAAAATAATGAATAAGAAATTGTAATTGTAATCATCCCATAATCATGATGTTCACTGATAACAAACGAGAATGTACCTGCGCATTTTGATCTTTGATTGCCAAATGGATCCATACCCACCTCTGAAGCATCTGTTAAATACGGGTTCTTCATGCAAGGAGGGGGCATAACCCGACAGCGTAAAAAAACAGCAGATTGCGATACATAATTTTGAGGCTTTTTGGTTTCCAGAGTTAATGGTTTCTCAATTGACATTTCTTCTGCACTGGTGTTATCTTTCCCGATATCCACGATTGGTTGCTGGTCGGACATTGTAGGACTGAGAGGATGAACTGGGAATACCACACGAGAGAAGAACACATATAATTAGCATCGAATACCATGCTATGAGAATTCAGCAAGGATTGAGATGAATGAACAGATTTCATGGAAGTATTCTCAGTTTCGCAATGCGAAGCCAGTTGAAACATCAATCAAGAATCGAGGATGATACAAATGAACACAGCTTACCCTGTCGAAGCTTTTTTGTTATGACAGTGTTTACTTTCTCCGGTGATTTGGGGCATGGAATGTTTTCCTGTGGCAAACCAATATTCGAACCATCGAAAAATTCATTTTTAATTCGCAAGCATGTGTCAATCTGTATATATTATAATACTGTTTTAGGCATCACCTTGTTGCAATCAAAACTGTAGAGCAAGTTCTGATTGTCTGGTGTGATATAATCTGGAGTGCTGCATTTACAACAAGATATTAAAGAAAAAATTAATTCAACTGCTTGCAGATTGCATATACAGATTCAGTGACATCAAAAGGAGGATTGCATCTCGATTAAAACTATTGATAATTCGATTACCCATTATCAAAAACACCAAACAAAAACGAGAAAGACATTATTATTAAACTCATATTTCTAAAAAAAGAGAAACAAAAATTACCAAAAGAAATCTTGAGTGAGGATGAAATCCTTTTCATCAACATCCTCGGCAAGCAGCTGAGGGTCGATGGGGTCGGAGTCCAGAACGTTCTGGAAGAGAGAAGATGACGCTGCTGCTGCTGAGGTGACAGAAGATGATTGAATTTGGTGGTGCTGAACCTGTTGCAAGTGGGTTATCAATGTGCCCTTCTTCATTTCTGCGGTGGTGCTGCTCGCCCTCCTGTTTTTCTTCGTATAGCTTCTCTTTGTAAGGGTTTTCCTCTTCATCAACTCTCTCCCTCTCTCTGCCTGGGAGCCTCTTTGGCTTCTCTCTCGTGTGCTTATTTTACGGGGAAAAAAAGGGTTTTTGTTTCTTTTTTAGAGAATCAAAATTGCGCGGGACGTCTTCTACTTTTGCAGAGATCGGATGAGGGAGGGACTACTGTATGGTACACGGACTCTACTTTATCATTGACTTGACGGAAAAATTGACTGATTTAACTGCTTGGATAATTGAAATGATTTGATCTAGACTTTTTGAATCAGATCTCCAATGTCATGATTGGTTGGAGAACGACAGTAATTTACGTTGCGTCAGCGTACCAGGGAAGTTTTCAAACACCGTTGGTTTCTGTGTTTTTTTTTAATTTGAGTTTTTTTATTTTTTTACTTTAAATTATTTTTTTATATATTGTCAAATTGTATTTATATTTAAAAAACAATCACAGTATTATTTTAAAAAATAGTTTTTCACCCGCGGCAGAAAAAGCAAGCGCGCTTTTTCAGAATTCTGTTGTTTCTTTTTTGGACAAAACTCAACTATTTTGTTTCAAGATTGGTCGGGTCGGAGTCGTTTATTTTTATGTACCCCACTCCGATTTAAATTACCCACGGGTATCGAGTTACAGCAGGTAAAAGACTCTCCATCAAATTGACATGGGATCCTATAGTCTAATTTCAACAAAATATACATCAAACTAACCTATAATTACATCAATTCTTCCATTTCTCTTACTTTATTCATGGTCGTCCTTGAGCACAGTAACTATTTCATGATTTTTCTTCAATCTCCAATCCAATTCCTTTTAATCCAATTCTTATTCCAAGTAATTTCACAACTCAAAACTTTGTTCCTCTTACTTCCGTAACACAAAACTCCTGTTTCCTTCACGATCCTGTAACACCCCTTACATTTTCAAACTAAATACTTATCCCAAATTACATATCTCGTAAATATACATCCAAATAATTTCACTCAACTTTAACTTAATTCTTCCTTATCCACATCCCCTCTCATTGTCAGCCCTACATTAAGTATTATCCATGACTTTCCTTCCTTTTTTCTTCATTGTCTTACTATATCTAGTAATTTAATCACCGTTGATTGAAGCATTTATCATCAAAACATCTATTCTTTCTAAATCACTCTAAAACTCTAACATTAACAGATTGAGGATTTATTCCCCCGGGTATGGAAACACAAGCTAACAAGAAATTGAGTTACTATAATACTCTGCCCGATGACTTGGACTTGGGATAGAACAAGGATTTTCTTGCAACTTTCTTCTCCTTTCCTCTTCAAATCTATTGTTTCTCTATTTCTAGAAATTTGACCTCTTGATTTCTTCCCAGGCAAGTTTATGTGTAGTTTTCCCTCGCTAATATTCACCCAAACCACTCCCAAGTCAAATCTCAACCTTAGTTTTAAAGAAAATAAGAAAAAAATAAAGAAAAAAGACGATCTTCTCTCCTTTTTCCTTCATTTCAAACAGCCAACCCTAAATAAGAGGAGAGATAAGTTTTTTTTAAAAAAAAAATTTACAAAAAAAGAGAGAAAGGAAAGCTACTCCTACAAGCTTTAGTGTAATTCTTCAGTACTTTCCCGTCCATTGGTATTATTTTACACTATTTAACAAAGCTCCCCATGAAAAATTCATTTTCCTTTCCGGTAACTTCTTATACTATTCATGGTTTTATAGTTTTGTTAACGTGTAATGATGAGATTTGGAAATTGTATATGCAATTTGAAAGTGTATGAATATTCTAGTTTAATCCATTGTTTTTATTTTTTATTGATTTTGACTGCAATTAAAAGTACAAAAAGAATGTAATATTTTCACATCAATGCCAAGATAATTAAATAGATTTGGATTTTGTAATGAGAAATTTGCTGTTCTTAGTAAAATAAAGCAATCAAGGGAATTAATGAGAGGAAGATCTGCGACCTCCATAAAACTATATCAAGCGGGGGAGAATGAAGTGTAGCCAGAAGGTGGGCTAGTGCAGGTAAAAGAAAAATGAGGATTTTGACGGCATGGGAAGTTGGAGGACATTCGATAGCAATGTGCTGGCCGAGAGGTTCGAATTAAAGGGGATGGATGGATTCAGCCTCTTTGTTTTTGAATTTTTTAAATAAATTTAATTTGTTTTTTAATTTAAATTAATATTTTTTATATTTTTAAATTATTTTGATTTACTAATATTAAAAATAATTTTTTAATATATTTTTTAAATAAAAATATTTTAAAAAATAATCACGATTATATTCTTAAATACCACGCTAGCCTTTGTGGCCTTCAATTTAAGAGCAAAAGAGAATGATAAATGAAAACAAAAACATACCAGATGCTTGTTCTTGCTTATCTCTTCTTTGACTTTTCTAATTCATGTATTACTCTGTTTTATATTATAAATGTTAACTGCATACGAGTTTAATTGAGTCGAGCAATTTCCTTGAATGAATAAAGTGTATTCCTTTCTTTATTATAAATCCCAGAAAAAAAGCATCCAATGTGCCTATAAATTATTGGATGATTTTTCATAATTATAAATTATGAACAACAATTTCATTATTTTAATGTCTCAATAGCTCTTTAGTCATTTAAATAAATATAATGATAAATTTATAAATAATTAGATTTTTTTAAAGGATGTTAAGTATTAGCGTGTAATAGTTAGATATATTTTGTTGAATATTTTTAAAGATATTAAATATTAGGGTGTATAAATTTTTAAAAATAAAATTTAATTTCTCAAACTATATTAAAAAAAAACACGAGAAAACTTTGAAATATTTTGTTTTTGTAATTATCCCATTAATCTCAAAGAAAAAACAGTACAATCAAGTGCTGTTTGGCTTGATTTATAGGACTTGGCTCTCCAAACTCCCTTGATTATTATTTTTTTTGTTATTTTTTATCTAAAAGTTTATAACCAAGTTATTATTTTTCTCTCAAGCTTTTTTCAAAAAGATATTTATAATAAATTATACAATGGGCGAGTCTCTGTTATACCCATATTTTTAATTGTTTTAATCATACCCTTATAATTTAGGGGGTTTTTTGGAATAAAAAAATATAATCTAGATGAGAAACTTTAATGAAAGTTATAATGGAGAATCATTGATTTTATTTTTTTTTACCAAACAGAGCCCCCATTAATCAATAACCACATATAATCTTGTCTGTCAAGCCACGCAACAACTAAATGTAATATAACATAATCATTAGATTGATAAATTTTTGAAACATTTAAAAAACAAAAGGAAATTTAAATATTTATATAATTTATAATTAGTAACTTGCACGGGAGAAGCAGTCTTCCTCTAGACCATTGCGAAAAATTTCCTTGCAGACGAAGCTATCCACCCCCTCAATCCTCTCAAGCGTCTCAAACACGACACGTGTCCAACAAACCCAATCACCACATACTATTTGATATCATTAAACGACACAGCATCGTACGATCACTAGGACAAAACTATCCCCGATTTCAAATCTCCAACAAGCTAATCAAGATGTACAATATAGTAATTTCGAGTTAACCCGGACACCCTTGCTATGATTGCTGTCACCATTTCATAATAATCCCCTTAAACTTGAAGATTCTCTTTTATGGCCGGTATCCATGGCTACTCTCTCAGCTTACTCCTCTCCTCCATGGCAAAATTCAAACCCTAACTCGGACCTTCTCTCAACTCAAGATGAAATCGATTCGCAAGCTCATCCCCCGTTCGAGTCTCAATCTAACGATTCGCTGTCGTCTATTATGCCTCCGGATCCGGACCTGAACCCGAGCCCTAACCCCAATCCCATTACCAATTACAACACCTCTATATCTTCTCCACCTCAATCAACCTCAACGCCGCCTCCGATTTCTCTCCTCCATCTCTCCTTCAACCAGGATTTTGGGTGTTTCGCTGCAGGAACTGACCACGGGTTTCGTATCTACAATTGTGACCCCTTACGCGAGATCTTCCGTCGCGATTTCGATGGCGATGGAAATAGCGGTGGCGGAGGGATTGGAGTGGTCGAGATGCTTTTTAGATGCAATATTTTAGCTATTGTTGGTGGTGGAGCTGACCCCCAGTACTCTCCAAACAAGGTCATGATCTGGGACGACCATCAGAGCCGATGCATCGGGGAGCTATCGTTTCGGTCCGAGGTCCGGTCTGTGAAGCTAAGACGGGATAGGATTATTGTTGTCTTGGAGCAGAAGATATTTGTTTATAACTTTGCGGATTTGAAGCTTGTGCATCAGATTGAAACAATTGCGAATCCGAAAGGGCTTTGTGCGGTTTCACATGGTGCAGGATCGTTAGTTTTGGTTTGTCCAGGATTGCAGAAAGGACAGGTTCGGGTGGAGCATTACGCGGCGAAACGAACCAAGTTTATTATGGCGCATGATTCGAGGATTGCGTGTTTTTCCCTCACGCAGGATGGGCAGTTGTTGGCTACTGCTAGCACTAAGGGGACACTCGTTCGGGTTTTCAATGCAGCTGATGGTACCCTGCTTCAAGAGGTGTGTGTGTATTATCTTTTCTTTTGTTTGTGTTTTGTGACTTTGTTTACGTGGATTGTATTTTTGAAGTTATGTGAATTTATATAGCTAGCTGTATTGAGTTTGAAGTGTTGTTGGTGTAATGTGCTTCGGAAATAGTTGAGGTTGCTGGAAGTGAAATATATTGCCGTGGAGCTGGTTGTTTGGGTGTGTTTTTTGTGACTCTCGAAAGGATTTGAAAATTAGTTGCGAGAGTTGAATCTCGTTGTAACGCTTCCCAAAACGAAGGAAGCGTTATGAATGACCAGTTAGTTGATCTAGACAAACGTTAGCTTTGGATGTATCCACTATCTAGGGCTTTTGTTAACGTCTTCTTTGTTACATTTTAAATAGAAATTGGATATGATTTCTAGTCTGTACCACGCATTAGGTGTTTGCTCTTATCAATTTGTGATATCATGCCACCTGCTCCTGCTGTAATAGTTGAGGTAATTCAGGTCAAAATGTAAGGAAAGTTCTTTCCTTTGTGTTTTTCATAATGGCATATGAAATATGATGTAGAGATTGTCGGTGCTTTCAATGTATTGGCATGCAAATGCAGTCTTTGAAGGGGAAACTGGATATTTTGTGGGGATCTTTACACTGTTTTTGTAATGCTGCATGTGGGTGCTAGCTCTGTTCTGAATCCTTTCAGTTGATTTATTCTTATATTTACTTTTGTGCTTCGAATTATAATCATTGTTTAAATAATTGGCCTATGACATTTTGGTTCTTATGCAATCTCCATTTCATGCCCTTCGATGAATTAATGTCCTCTTTCTATCCTGATCTTGGCTGTTCCCCAACTCCTCAGCTATGCCATGTCTGCATTTCCACTGTTATTTTCTGTGTATATTGTAGAGAAGGTTTTTTTTTTCTCTCTCGTTCCCTGGTCAGTGAGGGTGATTCTTATAAAGTTACAGTCTTGTGAAATTCTTTATATGCCCAAACTAACTAGATACACAAATGTAGGTGAGGAGGGGTGCGGATAGAGCAGAAATTTATAGTTTGGCATTCTCTTCAACTGCCCAGTGGTTAGCTGTCTCGAGTGATAAGGGCACTGTTCATGTTTTCAGCCTTAAGATTAATCCAGGATCTCCAGGAATTGACAGGTCACAAAGCACGGACGAGCCTAATCTTGCTGTCACATTACCTGCCTCCTCTTTATCTTTCTTCAAAGGTAAATGGCCTTAACCCGTCTCTTCTTCCATTGTAAAATATTTGAGCATTATGCTGTTGTCACTTTTTGAGCATCGTAACTCTATCCTTTTTCATGTCAATTTCAATACAGCACTTGTAAATACAGCAAGTGGGTGTTTACATCTATCCACTGAAAAAGTTTTTATTTTCCAATCCCCACTGCAGTATCAGGACAATTTATACATACATTATTTTGTATCTGTATTTTAATTATGATTTCATCTGCAGGAGTTTTACCGAAGTATTTTAGCTCAGAGTGGTCAGTGGCTCAGTTTCACTTGCCTGAGGGTTCTCAGTACATTGTTGCTTTTGGTCACCAAAAGAATACAGTGGTTATCCTTGGTTTGGATGGAAGGTGAGAAAATAATGCATGTGTTCTATACTACTGCTGTAGAGGTTTTACGTTGATTTCATTTCATTTTGCTATAAATTTCGTCTTATAGTGATGGGTAGAATTTGTTTCTGTGAATACGTGACAGCTTACATGGTAATTTACAGACAACCTATATGTTCTGTTAATGCACCGCCTAAAAAAGAAATTATTTATTTTTTAGGGGTTAAAAAAGCCTTCTGGATAAATCAGGCTTGTTTTTTTAGGGGTCTGGGGCGGGGGGGTGGAAGTGCCAGTTTTTTCTTGGGAATTTTCCCTATAAAGTCGTGCTCCAGTCTAGCCTTTTTTCTTCTTTTTTTTTCCCAATCTCTTCCCGTAATGCTCTTTCTCTGGTCTCCACATTCGCCTCCTACTCTCACCCTGCCTCTCCTCGCTGTAATGGTGTCTGCTTCTAGCCATTAAGTTTTTCTTGCTTGATAAGTTAATTCCATGATAAAAGAAACAGGTGGAATAAAATTGTTGACAGAGTTGGCTGTGATTGCAGTTTCTATCGATGTCAGTTTGACCCTGTGAATGGTGGAGAGATGACTCGGCTGGAATATCACAACTTCTTGAAACCGCCAGAAGCAATCTGATAAAAAGGCATCTCGTCTTCCCTTTGATAATACATATCTTTTTCTCCTTTTTCGCTATTTCCCCACATTGCCTCATCCAGATGGCTTTATTATGCTGTAAATATGTAACTGTCAATATGTAAAGTACGTGAAAAAAATGCAAAAAGAAAGGGAAAAAGAATGAGATGATTTAATGTAATGTGGATGCCATTTTGAATCGCAAATTATGTTAAAATGGCATATCTCTTTTCTTAGTAACTGTCCGATTTTGCAGGATGGATTAGGAAAACGCATATTTGGATGTGGCTTGAGAAGGCACAAACCAGGAAAGTGTACATGTTCTCTCAGGCCTGGCTTGACCTTATCAGTAGATCTCAGTTCAGGCGTTGCTGATAAGCGACTTCTACCTTCTCTCAACAAATCCATCGAATTTAAGATCACAGTTCCACTTCTTTAAAGAGTGATCTAATGTGTTTTAATGGCATTAGTTAACATCTGTGTCTTGCAAGTCTAAATACAACCCCAATCATTTGAAACTGAACCAAACTTGTTCTGCGCTTTTATAATTATTGCACAGAAACCACTTTGCCCAGTAAAACTCAAAAGAAACTCAACACTCTGCTTCGTTCTTTAAGGCTTGAAAAGCCTGAGCACTGATGGCTTTTAACTGTTCATCGTATTTATTAGGGGTGTTTATTTTTGGTTCGGTTCGGTTTTTATAAAAAAAAACATCCAAACCGGAAAAAATTTTTTTGAAAAAAAAACGAAACCGAACCGAAACCGGGTCAAACCGACTGGTTTCGGTTCGGTTTGGTTTTTTAAGAGAAAAAACGGTTCAAATCGGTTTGGTTTGGTTTTTCTCGGTTTTGGCTCTGTTTTTTTCTGGTTTTGGTTCGGGTTTTTGGTTTTTTGATTATAAAACCGGAACCGAATTGGCTAGTTTTTTCAAAATTTTAATCGGTTTAATCGGTTTTTTTTTTTCGGTTCGTTTTTTTCAGTTTTTTTTTTTAATTTTCTTAATTTAATTGGTTTTTCGGTTTTTTTAACGCTCCTAATATTTATGGTATAAAATGTCCTTAGCTGTCAAATCTCAGCACCTGCCGCTCAAAACCGACTCCTTCCTCACCAGCACGTGTGAACTATGTGGCTCGATGCCCCCCGGAACTAAAATGAGTGAGCAAATCCATATGCGGCGCATCTGGTTTTTATTTTCGGTTCGGTTCAGTTTTTATAAAAAAAAAACATCCAAACCGGAAAAAATTTTTTTGAAAAAAAAAGGAAACCGAACCGAAACCGAGTCAAACCGACTGGTTTCGGTTCGGTTCTGTTTTTTAAGGGAAAAAACGGTTCAAATCGGTTTGGTTTGGTTTTGGCTCGGTTTTTTTTTGGTTTCGGTTCGGGTTTTTGGTTTTTTGGTTATAAAATCGAAACCGAACCGAACCGGCTGGTTTTTTTAAAATTTTAATCGGTTTAATTGTTTTTTTTTTTTTCAGTTTGGTTTTTTCGGTTTTTTTTTTAATTTTCTCGGTTTAATCGGTTTTTCAGTCGGTTTTTTTAACGCTCCTAATATTTATGGTATAAAATGTCCTTAGCTGTCAAATCTCAGCACCTGCCGCTCAAAACCGACTCCTTCCTCACCAGCACGTGTGAACTATGTGGCTCGATGCCCCCCGGAACTAAAATGAGTGAGCAAATCCATATGCGGCGCATCTTTTGGTGGTTTATTTATATCATTTAAATAAAACCCCGTACAGGTATCTTCCGTTCCTGCTGCCTTTTTTTTTCTTTCGGCTTGGGCCAAGCGAGGCCCACACACTCATTTTGTTTTCTGTCTATTGATACAGTCCTCCCTGCTCACCCAGACATTGAGTTCCGAGTCATACGGTAGATTCGTATGGATATAGAATAATAATAATAAAAAAAATAGAGAGCATGCAGTGTGATATAACTTTTTTTTATAGTTAAAAATGAAAATATAATTTATGTGAATATATATTATAAAATAAATATGTGAACCTATGAATTCATAAATTAATTTTATATTTTTAAATTTATTAAAAAAAATAAAATAAATTAAAACTCATTTAATTATAATTCATCATTCAAGTTTACTTAAACCAATTATATTTTTAAATTTTTATGATATAAAATCTTATTAAAGTTTCGGATTAATATGCTAGGTTGATGTTAGTTTTGTAACCATGCTAGTCGCAACAAATTGCCTCTAGGCTGCAACTCTTGTTCTCCTGTTCTTTTTTTCATAAATTTGGAAGATAAGTTTCATTCTAGCCGGTGAGCAATGGTTGTTTAGTTGTAGCTGTGTCGGATCAAACTAATGGTGCTCTTGGCCACAATCGTTCCAGTTAATTCAGCCCCTTCTCTCTTTCTCCGTTCTTTTTTTTTTTTGCCCTTTTAAGCTCGAAAACTTCATGCCATCATTCATGCATCAAAATTAAATTCACTTTTCTTATTCAGTATATATATATATATATATATCGAGATTAGTGAGTGTATACAAGTTTTATAAGAATTAAATGAAGTAGAGTGAGAGCATATTCGCTCATAAATTGATTTCCATCGGTCGATAAAAACCTTGCTTTTTTGCCACTAACATTAGAAAAAAGAGAGGGAGCAAATCTCGAGATGGATGCTGACAGGCATTTTAATAAGAATGCACTGGGAATTGCGGTTTGACTGGATCAAATCTGAACCAGCTATTCCTAATTATTATTTTTTATTATTAATGTATGTACCCGTAGCCACACTTAAAACTGGTAATTAAATCTCAAAGAGCATCAAAGCTTTAGTTCTCATTGCCCATGTGCCTCGGAAGACAGAGGTCAATGCTGCTCTTCTGTCATCTGGTAAGAGTGACATAATCATCACATTGTTTATCCGACGAGCTCATACCATTATTTTTATTCGTGTAATAATTTTTTTTAAATTTTAATTTTTTAAAACTAACATAACATGTTGTTAATTTCGGTATATACAGGATGAATTCACATTGCTTTTGGATTAATGTTATTCAGAAAAATTCCTTCATTTTAATCTGTACTCACCGAGCAGAATCGTGCGAACTGGCTTTATATATATATATTTGCACAAAAGAGCACCCAGCGTATGCATGAAATTTAGCATAACTCTCCCATGTGATTTTCAGTGAAAAACAATCTCAGATTAACGTCAGGTTTTGTCAGTGACAAGACAAAATCTGAAGGATTCTCTAAAATATAATTTTATTTTATTTAAATCTTGAAATATCCACGTGGAGAAGCAATTTTATTTTTTTCATTCGTTTTTTACCCCAATTTATAATTAAGAATATATATAATGCTCTCCAAAATACTTTAGGATTAAAAACCAGCACGGTTTAAAAGGCGTCAAACACTCTTTCAAAATCATAGATTAAACTATCATTAAGAAAAAAAATCATAGATGAAACAAGATAATGAACTGGCTAGTGCTCACATTTTTTTTTTATTATAAAAAAATTAAATCCAGTTGGTCAAAACTCTTGCTCTTGAAAGATTGACCTGCAGGTTTACACGTTTCCCGTGAACAAGAACAAGAAAAACACAGAGAAAAACTACAGCGAGCACATGCATTTCAGAGAAGCCAGTAGCTAACTTGGTAGAAAAGCCAAAAAAAGAAGTCAGTAGCCAGGCAGCAGGTAACTACTATAAGAGGAGTGAAGGAGTTTGGTTTTATTTCATCTTTTTAAAAAAAAAAAAAATTATTAGTGAAATCTATTGTTTTTAAAAAAAAAATTATTAGTGAAATCTATTGCTCTGTCTTCATCAATGGCGCTTAAGTTGTATGGATCACCCATGTCCACTTGCACCTCTCGTGTTCTGACCTGTCTGCATGAGAAGGACTTAGATTTTGAGCTTGTCATAGTTGATCTTTTCGCCGGCGAACACAAGCAACCTCCTTTCCTAGCCAAAAATGTAAGCTCCGAATTTTCATTTTGTTTTGTGTTGCTATCTGATTCCATCGTCCTTCACTATTAATGAGTGTTTTACATGCATGCAGCCCTTTGGTCAGATTCCAGCACTTGAAGATGATGATCTTACTTTATTTGGTAAGCCATGATTTATTCACTAACACAACAGGCGACTGCACTTTGTTTGTGAAATAATCAACTTGCTCTACATCTGATATTATTAAATATTTCAATAGGGTGCCTCAGCTCGACCCATACATTGATAAACTGCGATTAAAACGACTGGTTTGTTTCGCCACGATCAAACATGATCATATCAATGCATCTGTAGGGTAGCAAGACGCTTTATATGTCATAATCCCACTTGATTATCCCTAATCACAGTGATCAGGGGATTAACTAGTTAATCCACAAAATGGTTATATATATGGCTTCTCTGGTGCAATAAATGAACGTATTTAACAGATTATAATTGTAGTATCTCATCCAATCTTAGCAAGAATCAATAAATTGTCTAATTACTTGGACCTGCAAACCAGTGGCTAGTATGTTTTCTTAGGTGCTCTGTTTTGGACCAAGATTAATTGATGGGACAGACTTTAGGATGTAACTGGACGATAAGGTTTTGGACAGTTGATTGAGTTTATGTACGATATTATGGAGTTTCTTTTCTTGGTGGAAGCATTAACTCTTTAGTCCATAGCCATCTTAAGGTCTCTTTATAATAACTTGACGGCAATGTTTCATGTCTTTACCAGAATCTCGAGCAATCACATCGTACGTTGCTGAAAGATTCAAGGAAACTGGCTACGATCTTATAAGGCACCAAAACATCAAAGAAGCTGCACTGGTGAAGGTTTGGGCAGAGGTAGAATCCCAACAATTCCACCCTGCGATAGCACCGATTATCTTCCAATTCTTAGTGGCTCCACTTCAAGGCAATTTACCTGATCAAACAGTCATTGACACCAACCTAGAGAAGCTAGGAAAAGTGCTTGACATATATGAAGCTAAGCTGACTAGCACCAAGTACCTTGCAGGAGATTTCTACAGCTTGGCTGACCTTCACCACCTACCATATGCGTATTATCTCATGAAAACCCCTGCAGCTTCGGTGGTAAATGAGCGCCCGCATGTTAAGGCATGGTGGGAGGACATTTCCTCTAGGCCAGCTTTTAAGAAAGTGGCAGAGGGTATGAATTTTGGTGAGAAATGAAACTTGAAGAGGGTTCTGTTGTTTTAGTTCAAGTATTTTGACGAATATGCGTTGATTGTGATCTTAATGCATTGAAACTTCGAATCAATTTAGGAAAATTGTGGGGCATTGCCCCATGTGGCTGTCGTAGAATATTAATTTGGTTTCTGCAAAAACTATTCCATGGTTTTGACACCTGCATTGCTACAGTAAATGCAGCCACACCAACATAATTGATATGCTGAAAACTCGATCGACCATCTAATTTCAATTGACACATTAGGGATTATTGTGACCTTAATCTTTTTTCTTTCATCCTTTGTTTAGTTAAAATTATCATTGATTGTCTAAACAAAGGATGAGGGGGGGCGGCTCCGTTTGCGTTACAGATAAAGTGTAAGTTTGTTTTATCTCCCCAGTCGGAGTAAGTGCATGAACAGAGGATAAAACAAAATGATACGAGCATGGTAGCACCATTGGTGGGTGATGGGTTCAAAGACCCGTAGGATTAGTGAAGTCTGGGAACAAGGGAAGTGAACAAAAAGTGCAAATCCATGAGACGAAATGATTTGTCCGAGAATAACTAGGATGACCAGCACCGTTAACAAAATTCGGGAAAGGCTACAACTTCGCCCCTGTACTTTGTTTTGGATTGGATTAATTTTTTAAAATTTAAAAAATGATGATAATATCGTTAATTTCAATTAAATAATTTTATCTCGGGATTTCAAATTAAACTATTTAAAAATTAAGTTAATAAAAATTACTTAATTTAATAATTCAAAAACAAGCTAAATAACAAGTAAAAACATCACATAAATTTTAAAAAAAAATTAAAATGATAATTTATTTTTTAATATTGAGACGATGCTAAATTAGATCAACTTTGATAAACTTGCGATTTGGATCATGGACTTTAATAAATTTAATAACTTTTTATTTTTGTAAATTATTTTTATTTAATTTTATAATAAAATTAGATACTTTTAAAATCAAGTATCAATCGTAAAAAAATATTTATTTAAGATCATGGTAATTCTATAGAAAATAAAAAAAAAATCATGAATTTTATTTTCTAACCAATCCAATATTATAAAAGAATAAAATAAAAAAATTAAAGCACCAAAAATTAAAAAACAGACGTATAAGATTTGATAGGTAAACTTGTAAATCAAAAAACTCGGGTCGACACATCAAACCTGCAAATCTGGTAATGAATTCTATTGGGATTAATAACTTGTTTTTTAAATTATTTTTTATTTCAATATATAATACCAAAAATAGACGATTGCAAAATTAAACATTAAATCAATACTAAGATTTTTTTTTAAGAATGTGGTATTTTTATAAAAAAATAAAACAAATTATAAAACTCAATTCTTAATGATGAAATAAAAAAATATTTTTTTTAAAAAGACAAGTTAAACCTGTCAACAGGCATCAATTCTTAATGATGAAATAAAAAAATAATTTTTTAAAAAAGACAAGTTAAACCTGTCAACAGGCCCATAAACTTTCTAAAATTTAATAACATGATTTTTTTCTAAAAATATTTTTTTCTTAACTATATAATAAAAAAAAAATAGATGATCACATAATCGAGTTCAATTAGTAAAAGAAAAACCACGGCTAAACCTACAGACTAGAATAACCAGGGTTACCATACTAAACTTGTAAACCAAATCGTTAATTTCATAAAGTTTAATATTCTAGTTTTTTAAAATCATTTTTTATTGAACTATTTATTTTAAATAGATTATATTGCAATGCTGATTTTTTTTTTTGAAATGAATTAGATATTAGAATATTTTTTTGATACATTAAAACTATATAAAAAACAAATTAAAATAAATTCTAAATTCTAAATTTCTATAAATATACCATATAAAAACTAAATAAAAAAAAAACCAAGCAAAGGTAAAAGAGGAACCAAAATACAACGAAACAACAATATTATAGATCACTATTATAATTTACAATGCTAATAAATGGAGGGAACAATATTTTCTCCGTATCTTTTAACTTTATACTTCAATAGCTCTCTTTATCCATTGCCTTACATTAAGGGTTTGCGGCTGTGCTCGACGATTTTATTGATCTCCATTATCATTTTACAGTCGCCCGACATCCAGTAGTCTGACTGCATTTTTAGAGTCTGATTCAATAAATATCAGGATTTCTTGGTGACCATCCTGGGACCGTGCTCGAATTTTTATTGACGGTGTGATTTAATTTGGATATTCTTCTTATTTATAATCTGTATATCAATCGATTTTTTTTAATGATATGATTTTTTTTCGATTTAATTATTATTTATAATTAATGAGTAGAAAAGTAAAGCACCCATGAGCTGCTTATTTGTATTTTAACCATTGGTTTTCAATATGCAGTTTGCTGTATCGATCTGGCTACGCGTAGCGTTTTAGGATGCATTGAAAAGTTGGGCGTTTAATAGCAACGGTTACACGAGCAATATTTTTGGCATCTATACGTGTGCAATGCACGTGGAAGATACAAGACAAAGAAAGCGGATGGGGCATTTTTTTTATTTTTTATTTTATTTCTACCGTATAAATGTTTTCCTTTGCTGTTTTGCGTATTCTTAGAAAGAGAAGAGTGGATTTTGAATATTCATACGAGCCATTATACTGTGAGGGTGAGAGATTGTACCATAAGGTGTTAGTGGTACTTAACTTGGGCGCTAAAAATACCTAATGAGGAACTTCATCCATTCTCTTGGATAGTAAGCTGTTCAACACACCCGCACACTAAGAAGTCGATTTATACTTTATGGGTATTAAATTATTTTTGATGTCCCGAAATAATTTCACCTTAAAAAACTAATTTTATCGATAGGTAAATCGAGCTGAAAAGTGGTTTCCGTAAAATTGATTTTTTATTGGGATAAAGAATATTCCAATACTTAAATTAGTGCCTGTATGTGTGGTGAAAATAATAGACAAGAAGAAAATAAAAATATATGGAAGGTCCAAGGAAATGTATCTGGACATTGCAGAATTGTTGACTTGGTATGCCTGGAAAAATGTCTTGCCCTCCAGCCTCCTCTTTGGTCTGGGGACTTGGTGTGTATAAATACGCGGGCCTGTAATTTCTTCATGGCGGAGAGAATCGTGTTATTGGCCAACTACGACGGCTCAGCGGTTGATGTGATGTTGTGCCATGGGTTCTATACCTAACAAGCGATTGGAGGAGAAGCTGGCGTGCCTTGTCTGTGCGACGAAGTATAATTATTTTAATTGGTTTTTATGAATGCTGGTAGGCGTGGCAGAAATGTAGTTATTGATAGAACTATACCTGTTTTGCAAAACGCATGTGCTTGCAAGATAGAAAAATTATGAATGCTGCACATTATAACTGTTAGTAGTGGGGAAAATAAATGTGAGAGGAAAACAAAATTGTATTAGTCGCCGGGGTAGGTTCAGGCGACCACGATATCTGATCGCTCAGGTCTAGCCCGGGCGACCTCTGCTGGTCATCTGGGCTTGACCCAAGCTGGAGACTGTCAGCACCCCTAGAAGATTGACCACGTCATGCACTCACTGTTTACAAGGTAGATGGTAAGCAGATGATTCCAACGTCATCAGACAATGTTCTGTCAAGAGGGAGTGCGACAATGCGTTTCTTAAAATCCCGAAGTTCCGTCACAATGTAGCATCTGTTTCTCAGGATGATGCAACGATCTGGTCAAGTTCCAGCCTCCCAACATCAAGGGTTGAAGACTATTTGGAACAGTTCCTGATGCTAATTGTTAACCTGAACCAACAAAAGATTTGCCATTCAAAAAAGTCACTGAAATGGATGGATCATTCATAGCCCTCGGATAGACCCCGTGCGGTGACCATTTTAAAATAAAGAGCGTTTTTATCTACTTATCTGAAAGATAAATAAGTAAAGGATATTAAGCCAGCGCGAAATATTGAAATATCATTTACCTGTAATGAATTCAGAATGCCAATGGCAGGTGGAGAGTTAAGTAAGACTTGCTGCAAAAAGTTGCCTGTGGCTTCAGTGTCTTATAACTATTAGACCGTCGGACAGTAAAAATCAGTCCTTAAAGTCAGTATTTGTCAACGACAAAGCATTGACAGGGGCATCAAGATCACATTAGACATGGCTTGGTTCGACACAACAAATATCTATAGTGCACAGAGTGGATGCTATTTCTGTGCATGAAAAGGCAAAGAGACTCCTTGCATTAGCGATTCATAATCATGTTCCAGGCGCCAGATTCAACAGAACTACAACCAAGTCCTTCTCAAGCTCCCTTTCTTTCATTACCTCCTTCACTTTTGAAACATAACTCCATCTTCTCACCTCAGCATATAAATTAGATAGAAGAAACAAAATAAGTGCCATTATCTGACTCCAGTTCCGCAAGCTTCTTAGCTGCAAGCTCACTTAATTCTAAGTTGCCACAAGCTCTACAACCAGTCAGAAATGATCCCCAGATAGACTTCGAGGGTTCAAAAGGCATTTCTTTGATTAATTTGAAAGCTTCATCAAGACAACCGGCGCGTGTCAAGAGGTCAATCATACATGCATAATGCTTCACACTAGGCGAGAATCCATAATTTCCCTTGATCAAAGAAATAAATATCTGTCGGCCCATATCAACCAACCCTGAGTGGATGCAAGCGTTAAGCACGTTTGCCAAAGTGACTTCATCCGCCTCGAATCCTTCTTGCTCCATTCTGTTGAACCACCAAACAGCTTCCTGCCCACTTTTAGCAAAACCTAGCCCTTGAATCACCACATTCCAAGTAAAAACATTCTTCTCTTTCATGCTTCTAAAAGCATTCAACCCTTCATCAACCCTCCCGCATTTCAAATACATTTCAACCAAAGAAGTTCCCAAAATCACATCCAAATCCCATCCATTCCTACTTATAAAATCATGTATCCAAACACCCATTTCAATCGCTCTTAAACTCCCACACGCACCCAATGCATTCACCATAGTAACACGATTAGGCACCACGCCCGCATATTGCATTTTCTCAAACGAAATTAAAGCATCAGCATAATTCTTAGCATTCCTGTACCCCATAATCAACACAGTCCACGACACAACATCTCTGTCAGACATTTCATCAAACACTTCACGGCACAACCCCATGTAACCGCACGAAGCATAGACA